GGGAGGTTCGATCGGTGTTGCCCATATAGGCTATTTCACGCGCAATTCATTGCTTCTGCAGCCACCTCATGGAACAGTGGTAAACGTAGTCGCCTCTGGTGGTTTAACTATCCTGTGTATGCAGCAAAAAGTGATGTTTCTGGTATTTACTTTCACGATAGGGGAATGAGAGGAAAATTCTATTCCTGGCCGCTGCCAAAGCGTCTTTTCCTTCACTAGGCAAGTTGTGTGTTGTATTGCCCCGGTTTTCTAACGGCGCTCTGTTTCCTTTTTAGCGCCAACCTAAATGAAATGTACGGCGAAATCTACCTCCCCTGCACCATGCCCGAGCCTCCAAAACGGAATTTCTTCACAAACCTCTTTTCTGGTACCTTCAACGCCGTCGATCGAGACGAACTGTGTAAGTGTTCTTGTTAACATGCGCATGCTTCCACTTCACTTCTCCCGTGCGTTCTCCGTCTGCAGAGCCAGGGACTTTGTGTACATAGATGGAGGCGCTCAACTATTTAAACCTTGACCGAGCTGAGGGAAAGCGCCCCGACAAATGTGAGAAGAACTAGGGAATAGGGTTGATTATGACTGGCTGACGATGGCTAATAAACTAGAAATGGCCGTCCAGGTCCTCCTGGTGTTTTTTGGCACTCCTCCTTCTACCTCATCCCTGGTGGCTATGTGAACGCCTTCGAGGGCTCTAGATTGAGTCCTAAGATGAAATGGAGCTAGGCATTTCTCGTAACATGATCGGTTAAGGCGTCTCAATCAAAGATTTGAAACACTTTTCCAGCTGACAAATGCGCTGAACAGCAATACCGTCATGACCTCTTTGAAGCGAATGGATACCCAAGCCATTAAATCAATCAAAGCAAGCGTCGAATAAAAAGCCGAAAGAAGAGCAACCCGAAGGCTGGAGGGCAATTCTCTACATAAAAAAGACTCTGAGACAGTCCCTCGACTGCCATAACCTCCCAGAGTAGGCATAACTAATCGTTTTCGGACAACAGTTCGTCGCCATGTGATGCAATTTTAGGTCAGACTGTCCCCTAACGACACCTTAATCCGTGTCTACCAATTTTGTTGCAATGAGGGGGACTGTAAGTACGTTGGTGAACATGGAAGAAAATTACAGACCCCTCTAAATGAGCACAAACTGAAGGCTCGGAGGCTATACTAAAACTCACAAATTGCAACCCATATTACAGAAACCAGCCATAGTTTTGAAGTGGAAAGGGCGACCATCTTAGACTGATGCACCCCAAAAGCTAAATGACTCACGCTTGAGGCATAGTATTCAGATGCCAACTCTATCAGCACCTTCCCGTGGTGTATGAATTTATGCGTCAGTACACCCGAAGAGGAGACAGTCTTCCAAGCAGAGTTAGTCTGTTGGACTTACGTAAGCTAAATGACCAAAGGATCCGAGTTCAAATCTCAGTTCCTGCAAACCTGGGGTTGAGTAAGACTGGCTGACTGACGACGGCTAATAAGCCCCAAATTGTCAGCCCAAGGCCAATACACACAGCCGCAACTTTAAGTTTGCTGATCGATAAAGACAGTATTCGCCTCGACAAAGGACAGCCGGCCCAGCTGTCCGAAACGCCAGAAAATCTACAAATTTATTCCGGTGAGCGGAAGTTGAACTCTATTATCAGTGCTTTTCACTGTACGACTGCTTGTGGGCACTCTAGATTAGGCCTCAACGGGACGGGCATGTTCCGTGAACTTTTCTTCTCCGTGGGGGGCTTTCTGTCACTCTCTCTCTCTCTCTCCAGCATTTGGGATTCCAGTCGCCCCCCTAAAAGTCTGATGCATGCAGCAGGGTTAAACTCGTCATATATCGCACGTAGACGTTTAGACCTATCATCTACTACACGCGTAACCGCCTTCAGGCATCTTTACCCCGTCTCGCCATCAAGGGAATGTGGATGACGTGTGAAGGAACGCGCCAGGACCACGATAGTGATCGAAAAATGTTCAATAGGGTAACAAATACAAAAATCTCACTGATTAGCATGGAGCTCACTCCTCAGCAGTTTCCACATGTTGATTGAGAATCTTTTCACCAAAATAAAACAACTACCTCGGGGAGATATCGCTTTTTCTGCCGGGTTACCTAACTTTTGTGCATTTGAGGGGAATTTGGTCCATTTAAAAGTTAGTTTTTTGGAAACATTGACTAGCGTCTTTTACCTAATTCCAGTTTGTATAAACTGGAAAACACGCATATCCAAAAAATTTTAATTTGAAGAAGAATATGTTCTTTAGGATATAAAGGTAACTTTAATTAGTGAATTTTCGAGTCTGGTGCCCCAGTTCGTCTTCGGGCACCAGACTCGAAAATTCCAGGTGGAAATACAAATTATAATTCGTGTGAACTGGAAAACACACATCCCCAGAAATTTTAATTTGAAGAAGAAGAAGATGTTCTTTGGGATATAAAGGTAACTTTAATCAGGGAATTTGCGAGTCTGGTTCCCCAGCTTGTCTTCGGTCTAACAAGAAATGTGCAATGAACAAATAAAATTTCAAAGGTGCGGAAAAAATCGATGGTGGTTATACAGGGTGTCCCAGAAGTAACTAACCCTTTTGATTTGCCAATAAAACGAAAACTAT